CACTTTACATATTCGACAGAAATAAACGTTCAAACATTGAATTTTTTTTACATTTATGTCTCTTAATGTCAAGTTTAATCAATGGATGCATACAACTGCTTGATTTTCATGTGAATTTGTCGATTGTACGACTACCAAACTGCGTATAAGATTTTGTAGTGAATGCTACGTGTTTTGCTTTTTTTTTTTTGCATGTACATATACTTTTTCTTCCTCACATGTAGCAACTTAGTATCTTCATTGATAAGTGGTCTACTTTTTTAAATTTTATTTCTGCAAAATAAGACTTAATTCATATACCATATGAATATCATAATATACTGACTCGACATTTTTTTTTCACTATTATTATTTAAGATGTAGTGATCAGATGATGCTAAATTAGTTATCTGATATCATAGGTATTATTTGTAAATGCCTTTACTGTCAATACCTTTAATACCATATTATTTCACAGAGAAAATAACAACTAAAATTATCGATCCGTATCTATGTTTGGCATTGAATAATTATTAAGTTCAAAGACAATGTACTTGGATTTGTACCTGCTCATTTATAGCATACGTCAGAAATGTATTAATTTGCACAATCGACATGTAGTTGTTTTTTTTTTCAAATGAATATGAAATATAACAGAAATCAAAATATATTTATTTAATTGATATATACATGTATACCGTCAACGGTGAACCAAAGTCTACAGTGAACGCCGCTGTTATGTTACGACCTTACATGTATGATAGTGAGATGTTTGAATTAAATAATTTTTCATTTACTATTTCTTTCTAGCAATTAAACCAACATACCTATGATTTCAATTCTAAAATTTATTTTTATAAACAAACCATTTTCTTCCGTAATTTTCTTGCACGGTGGAACACGGAGGGTCACCCGATGAAATGGTAATGTCCACGGTGTAACACGGTGCGTTTTTGGTGTAATCGCAATATACGCACACGGTGGAACTCCGTGTACACGGTGTAACACGGGGTATTTTCCACCGTGTGTTTTCCACGGTGGGGTGGAAGAAACTCGTGAGCTGTACTGTAACTGTAGTTTACTATAGTTAACTATAGTAAATCAAAGTGTCAAAATTATCACTATAGTAAATCAAAGTTTTCAAAGTGATCACTATAGTGTCAAAGTGATCACTATAGTAAATCAAAGTTTTCAAAGTGATCACTATAGTGACATAGTTATCATTATAGTAAATCAAAGTTATCACTATAGTAAATCAAAGTTTTCACCATAGTAAATCAAAGTTTGCACAGTGATCACTATAGTAAATCAAAGTTTTCATAGTTATCACTTTAGTAAATCAAAGTGTTAAAGTTATCACTATAGTAAATCAAAGTGTCAAAGTTATCACTTTAGTAAATCAAAGTTTTCAAAGTGTCAAAGTTATCACTATAATTAAGTATAGTTAACTATAGTAAACTATAGTTAACTATAGTATTTTTTGTTAGGGATATCACAACTGCTATAAAAGTTTAAATAATCAAATGTTGTCAACAAAATTTGACATACTAAAACCCCTGTCTGTTTTGATTTTTGCCATAAAATCTTTATTAGAAATACAAAATACTTTTAAAATATTAAGATAAACTACACATTAAGTTTTGACGGTCGCTGCACGGCAAGAATGTTACCAACGACGTTATGACGTTAGCTTTTTGGCATTCATTTACAGTTCATCCACTTATCTTTTTTAATCTTCTCACTTTTCTTTCTAAAATTCTTTACAGCTATTTTGCTATAAAAAAATTCTTGCTTTGAATTGTAGCATTAAATTATTTATTATTATTAATTATTATATAAATTATTGTAACAAAATATCCATTCTTTTTTGCGCAAATTTTATGTATCTTCAAATTCAAAATGAGTGTCTAATAGAAACGTCATGATGACGTCGGTACATTCTTGCCGTGAGGAGATAGACGAGCCTCAAAGTTAAGTTTATTCTAATATTTCATGAAGTATCGCATAAATCTGAATGAAATTTAAGGGCAAATGTCAAAAAAGTTAGAGGCATTAGTATATAAAGTTTTGTTGAAAATTTTCGAACGTAAGAGATTTTATAGCAGTGGTGACATTACCTTTGAGTTACCTTTCAGAATGCTTAGAAGGTACTATAAACTGATTTTCACCAGTTTCCTGAGAACATATCGCAAAAAGGACATTTACACAGCAGGGGTGAAGTTAAAGTTACAAAGTGAGTCAATATCATGCGTTTCTTTTAAGATAATTGTTTCATAAAGCTAAAGATTTATGAGAAATATGAATAAGGCGACGTTTTGAGATCTTAACTGCACGGTAAAAGCAAGAAAGACTGTAAAATGTAAGTGCCGGAAAAAGAAAAGTTGTATCTATGGCGTGGTTGTTATCGTCACTGTCAATAATGTCAAGGTATTGTGTCTATTATTTTTGCGTGAAACTTGTAAACATCATTGAATTGGAGCAATCAAAAGTGAGGAATACGTTCTGATCATCTTTTTTTAAAGATTTAATCAAAATCCTCGGTCATGCGACATGTATATCTATGGAATTGACACCATGGTAACTTTCTCAAACTTTCTGCACATGCGTGCCTTAAAGAGGAAGAAGTGAAACAATATTTTCGAGTTTGGGCAAACTAAAATTATTTTTATTTTTATTTTCTCCATAAAATTAGATTTTTAGGTTCTGAAACCTGTAATTTTCTTAAACCTAATACTTTCAAGAATTGAATAAAAATTGCATGTGTCTTGCAAAAATTCTGCTTTTGTCAATTTTCCCGTTTTTCCGTCACAGTGTATCTTTAACATTTGCGTACATTTTACACTTTTTAAGTAAATGGCTGAATGGCTGCATGTCAATGGCTTCTGAAACCTTAAGGATGACATTTACTCAGATATCAAAAAATTCCACTGATACATTGTAAGAATGAAAAACAACCTACTGGACATTGTAGACCAATAATTGTAGTATTATTATTCACTTTCAAATAACTAGGTCAATGACCTACATTTCATTCTAGTGGTCCCTGAGTATTTCTCGGAAAATACCTCAATTTTTCACACTATGTCTAATATTTTCTTTACTCACAAAATATTTAAAGCAACAAAACCCTTTAATAACGAAATATAATAGGAATGGAATAGCTTTGTTATATATACAGAAACAATTAGAGTTTGAGCCATAACCTTATTAATTATTACAGTCCGAATTTTCTCTATCAGTTTTTAAATTTTTACCCATTTGAATCAAATATTACAAAAAATCTGAATGATAAGAACTCTAAATTATTTATAGTCTTAGTTTACTTTTGTTGCCCTTATTCTGCTTGAATAAAAAGAATATGAAGTCAATGATCGAATAATGACTGAAATATGTTTTCTGGAGTGGTTTTTGTTCATGTTTTTGAAATTCTTGATTGCAAGTCATTCAATTATTTTAAAGAATACTTTAACACTCACAATATTTGCAAAAATATGTTTAAAAAACACAGAGAATCTTAACTTTGTGAATGACATTGCAAGAAAAAAATTGTGACAAAAATGAAAAAAAAAAATTCATTTAGTCCGAATTTCCTCTGCATCGCGAATATATTTCACATTTGTTTTTGCATATTTTCTACAAATAATAAAATATTTAAATCTTACAATTGATATTAAGTTATAACTTAGTTATTTTGTCCATTTAGAACAATTTTTTTATTTAACATATTGTACTTTATAGTATTCCGTTTTCGTCAGCTAAAAGTCAGAGTAAACCTCATCCTTAAATAACGACATTCAACTTGGCCGCTATTTTTTTTTTTTCTACATCAACTTTTAGATTCACTTTTAAGCATAATCTTAAAGTAACATAAATTCACCTTTTCCGTGAAATTTAAAGATAACGAATAGACGTCATGCTCAAAGTACAATTTCAAAATACAAATTGTGAGCAAACACCGGCCTCTGGAAAGATATGCAGGATCAGGTGCCAATAATTTTTGCTTAGGAAACTTTTATGTTAAAAGCAAGTCATGATTTTATGAAGTTTTCTGGTAAATTTCAAGAAAAAAAGGCCAGGTTCTTTGAAATGTGACTGAATACTACAGAGATCATCAAAACCAAAGATAATGTTAAATATTTCTATAATAAGATTTACCGTATCCCATTCTTGAAAAACCTGCCAGGTAGAATCCGTACGCAGTTTAAGCATCTGTAATGAAACATAATACTCGCTTAAAAATATCATAAGATAGAAATCACGAATTCATATAGCTTCTAGGTATTTATCCTTTACAAGCTTTACAAGTCCGCGTCTACGCTGCTCATCAGAATAACAAACCAATAGCAACTGAGAAATGAATCAGACCTGAACTGACAATATGATTCGGAGATTACACTCCTATTTATTTCAACATTTGTAAAAAAAAAAAATCGTTTTCGTCGTTTTTGTTGAGCAATTTTCTTTATTTTCGTGGTTTAGTCAAACCAAAAATTAAGGTGATCAAATTGTTAATTTAAATTTAAGCGATTCTAGTACAAAGAAAAATTTTATTTTAATTTTTTTCAAATAAAAGTTAAGCATTCAAATAAGATAAGAATGGTTCACTACTGCATGCAACTTCAGGAAAAAAATTAAAATCTTTATACAATCATCATTTTATTATCTTAACAAATTTTTAGTGCCTAACAATCTTAAATGGTTACGTACAAGTAAAAAAAACAATCTTCAACACCTGTAGGTGATGCTCATGAATATCTTTAATTTAAACACGTATACGTATCTCCGCTTGTAAAATAGATCCAGATCGTTTGAACGCTTTTCTTCAGATATTACAGTGGGTATCCATAGTGATAAAGACAATGACCTTCAACGTGTGTCGAGATTTAACGTGACATATATCACTTACCCTAAACCCAAACCGGCACTATGTCTAGAAATAATTATTAATATGGAGATAACGAACAGAAATCGGGCTCAGAAGACCATTAAAACAATACAAATCGGAAGAAGAGCAAACACACTCCACGAAAAACATCAGAGGTGAGATCAGGTGTGATGAAGGAGAAAGTATTCCCTGTCGACTGGTCACATCAGCCATGTTCTCCTTTTCATGATGTTTCAAACGTAAAAAAATATGTATTTTTTTTTTAAATGGCCTAACAATTAGTATGAAAAACGCCACTAAACATTCGACTTAATGATAAACTGTATTTGCTGACAAGGTCATGTATCGCCATATTACTTTCAAATGAGGACCTTATGATAGACTGTATTTACTGTCAAGGTCATGAATCGACTAATAACTTGCAAATGAGGACCATAAACGAGACTCTTTATTCTCTTTTTTCATCAACTTGTTTGTAGATAGCTTGATTCGGTTTAGAAATTGTTTGCACGTAGAACATGCCCTTGCGTATCGAATCAACTGGGAGCCATAATCCTCATATGCACTTGATAAAGGTGAAATGAAATATGAAAATAACAAACAATAATCAAGCTCTAAAGTCCATTGATTGAAATATGGAGATAACGAACAGTAATCCAATTCATACGTCCATTTAAACAAATGAAATTGGGAGGAATGAGCATCCCCTGCCGACCAGTCACACCTGCCGTTTGCTCCTTGTCTTGTTCCGGGAAAAAGACAATTTAGTGTATAAATATGTGCCTAACAATTAGTATGAAAAATATCAGGCAGCATTTGACTTAACGATAGATTGATTGTATTTTCTGACAAGATCATTGTATCGACCATATAACTTGACAAATGGTGACTTTAAACGAGACTTGACATCCTTGTTTCATCAACTTGTTGGTTAATAGCTTGTCTCGTTTTAGAAATTTTTCGTGCGTGAGCATGCTCTTACACATCGAAACAACTGGGAAACATAAACCCCGTAGGCAGGTGATAAGGGTTTATTGCTACGTAAATAAGGGAAGTTGACGATAATATAATTGAAGTTATCACGTTTATTATAAAGTTTTGTTGTTAGGTTACTAATGTCTTTTTTAGTAAAATATCCAGACATAAAACAGATGTGTCAGGATTTTGGTGTCTTTTATTTCAAGTTCACTGGGATAATTCAATCGAAAAATGAATGGAAGTAACTGTTAATGGATAATCCGCCGTCGATATATTAAATGTCGTGTTGAAGGTCACTGCTTCTCGTGTACAAGATTTTAAATAAATCCTGCTTTATTTGAATACAAAATAGGTCTGCTAATAACGGGGCGGAATTGATATCCATGGAAATTCTGACAGATTGTTGGAAGACCTGATCTCCAAAAGCTACAAAGATTTTGTCAATTACACAATTAGATACAAGCATCAAAAGTAATTTTACAAAATTTAAATATACATCGATCAACATTTTTTATCATTTCTTTTTCTTTTGAAGAATTTCATTAAAAACTACAATTTATTCCCTTTCCTCAATGTTTCATATGTATAATTCTTAACAAGATTTTGTATTGTAAAAGCTTGATCTGTTCCACTGTGAAAACGAATAGAATCATAGCACAAGTCACAGCATTAATAGTGATATGAATGTAACCGGTGCGTGCAGGTTTACAGAGAGCGATACATGTAACAGAGAGCATGCACATATATCAAAATGGTTACAAGATAAGTGTGGCAACTCAACAAAACCAAACTGGTGGTGGTTTTGCTCTAACATTTCGTACAGGAGCATACATGTGTAAGATAAATGAGAAAAGTTTCGAATTTGGAATTTGGAGGCTCATTTTTAAAAACATTACCGTGTATACATGAATATGACTTTAGAATTTCTTCTTTACTAAGAATTTATTTTATACTAAAGTGTGAATCTTAGAACAAATTTTGAGTGTTTTTAAGAATCCTAGCCTGGTATGTTTGAAATATACAATAAAATGTATACAGTAAAACACTTCTTTCCCCTTTTTTCAGCGGAGTCCAGTTTTATACTGTTTTTGTTTATGTATGAGATTCTCCATAATCTTTTCTAAATAGCTGTGACTTGATTTCCAATATTGAAATGTAGTTACATGAGTTTTAGTTTTAAGAGCCAAAACTCATGTAAGTTTAAGCCAGTTTGTTTTAATCTTAATACACCGGCACATTAAGATGTCGTGCAATATTTCAATGTTAGTGTAAATAGTAATGGTAGTCAAATAGAAAGTTTCGTAAATTATTTAGCCAAAAACTTTAAAGTTTGCATGTGCGCAAGTAATTTGTAATATAAAGGGGACACATTACAAATTATGTCGAAAAGAAAAAAAATATCTTTCATATATTTCCTGGATAACAACAATACTCGACACGAAATTTACTGTTTATTCAAATACATGTATTATCCTTATGATTATATTTCATATGTTTTGAATGTAAATCTCATGAGGTCGCTATTTACAAGTGTAAAGTAAGTAATGAGATATGTGGAGATAACGAACAGAATTCGAGCTCAAATGTCCATTAAACATTACTAAATAAGAGCAGAGCAAACACGGACCTCTAACACATCAGAGGTGGGATCAGGTGCCATGGAGGAGTGAGCATCCCCTACCGACCGGTCACACCCGCCGTGTGCTCCTTGTCATATGCAGGAAATAACGAAAAAATCAGTCGACAATCCAATGTGTAAATAATTGCCTAACAAATGGTATGAAAAAAAGTCAGTCAGCATTTGACCTTATGAAAGATTGTATTTGCTGACAAGGTCATTGTTTTGACCATAGAACTTAATGACTTTAAACGAGACTGCTGATATTCTTGTTTCATCAACTTGTTGGTTAAGAACTTACCTCGTTTTAGAAATTGTTCATACGTAGAGCAGGCTTTGGCGTATCGAATCAAGTGAGAGATATAAACCCCGTTTGCAGGTGATAAGGGTATATTGCTGCATAAGTAAGGGAAGTTGACGATTGAAAAGTTAAGTCATCACGTTTATCATAAAGTTTGGTTGTTAGATTACCATAAACGTCTTCTTCTAATAAAATATCCAAAAATAAAATAGATGTGTCAGACTTTCTGTTATCTTTTATCTCAAGCTAACCGGATATATCGTGTCGACATGAGAATGGAAAAAAACCATTGTTAATTGACAATACGTCGTCCATATATCTTAATGTCGACTTGAAGGCCACAGCAAGTGTTTTTTTTTTCTTTTCACGTTAAAGATTCTGAAGAAATTCTGCTTCATATGAATACAAAAATAGGTCTGCTAATAACGGAGCGCAATTGGTATCCATGGAAATTTCATTAGATTGTTGGAATACCCGGTCTCAAAAAACAACATGTACATATATTGTCAATCAGAAACTCGAGCATCTTTTAAATGTCAACTTCAGAGTACTTGTGTGTACAATCAGAATGTTTCTTGACAAAGTAATTTTGCAGATGACCAATGACAAGGTAAGTAAATTTACGAGTTCCATTTTTATTGAAAAAGCAGCTGTCATCGATGTTAGAAAGTCTGGACATTAATTTATCGTGGGAAATAGTGGTATATAAGGTTGAAAAGTCGTAATATTTTATGTTGTTGATTTTGGTAAAATTTTGCGATTTCAAATGTTCCAAAAGTTCCTTGGAATTTTTTAGCATCCACATCAGATTTACACCACTTCTCAAATATATTGTTGCACAGTACTCTTGAAGTTTCTCCTTCACTACTGTTAATATCTTAGTGAGGAGTAAATAAAGAGGCTTGGTTGAACATTTACTGGAACCCGCTTTCTATCTTTTTTGTGAGGATTTTTATGAAGTTTCGGAATCCAATATAGATATGGTAATTCAAATTCATTTTGGCTGCTGGGAATATTAAAAATATTCAAAACTGACATATGATTTTGAAGAATTTCCTCCTTAGAAAGGGAGCTATAGGTATAAGTTGGATTACCACTTGTAGAATTAAATCCTAGTTCCTCTAAAATACAATTATATAATGAGCCTTACAAACAATGTTGTTACCTGCTTTGTCAGCAGGGACCAGTACGTACTGATCGTGTAATCTACCTAATTCTTTTTTCACTTCTGTATTATTGAATACAGACGGATAGATGGTTCTCATATTGCCCCTCAATCGTTTAATGCGAGATTTTAACATATATCTAATACATTTAATCCATTCTGACAATGTGTCAAGGTCTCCTTTTTCATGTCTTACCCAACGCCTGACGTAATCCTCTACAGAATCCAAAATATGAATGACGCGTCGGTTGACAATGGTTTTCCTTGGGATGTCAATTTCAACTGTTACCCTAAAAAACGTGCACTATTTATATACTGTTAACAGATAACAAAATACTACTACGTATAGAAATAAGTACATTTTTTCTATAGAACAAAGCCTGTCTGTGTAAAAGCTGAATGCAAGTATTTTTACAACTCTCAAAAGGAAAACTTAACAAATATATATAACGTTATCTAATCTATACAAATATTTTAGAGTTTTGGCCACGTGTGGTCGTGAAAATAATGGAACCCCCCCCCCCTTCTCCATATTTCTTCATTTTCGGATAAATTGATAACATTAATTGAATTATTCTTGAAATTATCTTAATCAAAGAACTTGTACTTAATATACATAATGCATAAAATACATATACTAAGATATAAATACCCGCTGTGTTGCAGCACATTAAAGTTCATGTTCGAAGCATGTTTATGTCAATATACCGTTCATTTCGACTTCAGGGTCATGAATGAATTTCGCATATACTGTACTAGTGTAGATAAATTGCTTTTCCTTCTCACATGTTTCTGCATTTTGTGAAATGATGAACAAAATTCCTATGAACATTAATGTCATTTCTTAGATATTTCATATTCTAATCATGAAGATATCGATAAACTCTCTTACCTTCAATATGAACTGACTTAAACTAACTAATCTACACTAATCTTTTATTATGTATTATAAAATAGAGGGTTGGCCCTCTTTCGTAAACCCAACATTGCAAAAATATTGGAACAGAAATTGAATCTATGATACATATGAATAAATCTAATTGTTTCCCGGTTGTTCAAGAGGAAAGTTTTTAAAAGATTTTTTTTCTACAGGTTCCACTATAAAACTTCGACTCTTTTATGTGGCCCAATCATAGCCCAACCTGGGTCAT